CTAAACCACCCCTAGAATTAGTGTGATAATTACTAAGGACAAGATGGGTGCTACGACATACCAGCGTGTGAAGAGGTAGGGAGAAGTTTTAAGACTCTTGATTCGGGTCAGCCCTTCTAATCGAAAAAAAATTTCAACATAACCTTAAAAGGTATTATTGAGAAATTAATTTTTTCTTAGTCAACTTTAATTTGAAAGGTTTTCTACAAAATTGTAAAAGAATATCAAACTATGTATAAGTCTATTCATCCCCTAGACTTATACTAAATTGGGACCATCAATTACTTTAAGGGAAAGTAAATATTTGGACGTACTTTTTATTAAACAAAATTTATTTTGAGTAAATGATCAAAATTATGGATTATTGCAAAGAGGAACTTAGTTCAAAAGTCAAATTTTCTCTATATGACACGATAACGTTTGATGCATTAATGGTACATAATAAGTGTTATATGGACCATATGGTGCATCAAATATTTATAAAAAGAAATGAACTAAGCTAAGGTATTAATAAAATTATTGTGATATTAGCGAAGACGTACTTAAAAATTACTATATGATAATATTATACAAAGTGATGACTTGTTAAGAGATTGACTGATATAATTTAGGAAAATAAAAATAAAAATATGAAAGTAAGAATGAAATATTATTAAATAAAGGGAAATTTACACTTTTCGTTCTTGAATTATACAATAATTGTAGAATTCTTACAAAAGAAAGTGACAACAGTCAAAGTATAAATAGAAGAAGAAGAAAAAAAAAAAAAACACCCGAGCTATTAAAAAAAAAAATTAATTACCACTTTAAGACCAAAATTATAAATTAGGACTAATGCGATAAATTTTTTTTATTTGTTGATTTTTAAAAAATAAAATTTAACAAATTTAAAAAATTATGAAAATGAGAATTTCGCCATTGTGCCAACGTAACAGCCATGGACGCGCAAATAAAGAGAAATAAATGAATAAAAAGAATGATAATAAGCCAAGTGCCAACTACCATAAGACTTGAAGTCAGAGAGTGTGAACCATGGAAATTAGTGTGAGGTTTATCGGTGTTGAAATTTACTGAAAAAAACAAAAACAAAAATTTTGATTGGTCACTGGCTGACTGGGCTTAATGTGGATTGGTCAACATAATCTGCGGGCTTTGAATATACCTAATCTTACATAATAACGGAACATATAAAAGAAGACTATATATGAATACTTATGCTGTGCAACCGAATGTACCATGCGCATGGTGCATACGATGCAAAACGATATCGTTTTGACTAAAAATACGCGTCCCACTTTTAAAAAAAATAATTCAGGTTCGATTCTCGGCAATAGTATTATTGTGGATATATAGTTATGAATTTCTGGATATATAGTTATAAATTTGTGGATATATAGTTATGAATTTATGGATATTTAGTTCATTCATTGTGGATATTTAGTTCATTCATTGTAGATATTTACTTCATTCATTCACTGTGGATATATAGTTATGAATTTCTGGATATATAGTTATGAATTTATGGATATTTAGTTCATTCATTGTGGATATTTAGTTCAATCATTGTGGATATTTAGTTCATTCATGGTGGATTTTTACTTCATTCATTCATTCATTCACTGTGGATATATAGTTATGAATTTGTGGATATATAGTTATAAATTTCTGTATATATATAAAAATGCTATTGCCGAGAATCGAACCTGATTTCTTCTTTAAATGGGACGCGCGTTTTTTTAACCAAAACGGCGCCGTTTTGCAACCGTATGCACCTTGCAAGGTGCATTCAGTTGCACAGCATAATTTGCGTGTATAGTGATGGGAGTATTTTGATCATTATTTTGTTGGACATGAAACGATATTTCCCACAACTTGTCTTTAACTGCAGCGAAGCATCAAGGAAATTAACGAGTATATAGCTACTCTGGTTCGTTGTATGACTGTAAAAGTGGGCTTCGCTTTTGTGATATGATCCAAATAAACGACCATCTTCTCATATCCACACAAGATGCTGTCTGCTACACCCACCATGCATCACCATCATCATTATCATCATCATCATCATTATTATTAGAGTTAATTCTTTTTTTAAAAAAAAAAAATTATAAATTTAATTTCATTTTTAGTCATTTTTTAAAAACATCTCTCGTTATAAAAGTGTTGTTGAATATCACGTACGTTGGTATAACCCAATAATAATCCTACAAAATAAGGAAGGATTATTATTTTCTATAGAAAAAGGGAAGATGAAGAGAAAGGAAAGAGTAGAAGTAGACAACATTCGTGGCACGAGATCAGGCTCAAGCCTTTTAATCTCATTTTGTGATTTTATTTGCAACCCCTCCCTACACGCGAGAGACAACTTCTATACTATAAAATTCAATAAGCTTAAAAAGAGCTCTTGTATAAATAGTGGGGCAAATCCTCTTCCCAAATCAATGTGGGACAAAAGCTCATTGTTTCCCTTCATTTTCCAACTCAAATGGGTCTACTCTGAGAATCAATATCTCATTCACCCATTATCCATTTTGAGCGTACAATATTCAATCTCTTCGTCTCACTACGAAGAACGCGAATTCACTTTGACCCGGCCCAAATTGAAAGTGGACCCCACTGATAATTGTACCACAAAATAGCCACTTAACATGACATTTTAAGCTATTTTTTCCAACAAGTGTCATGTAGTTATGCTAATCTAGGATAAAGATTCCAAGCTTGTCCACATTATGGAGTAAACTTTTTTTTTTCTAAAAATTATTATTTAAATGACATTTTATAAATTGAATTATTGAAAAATTAAAACTGCAACTTTTTTGAAAAGTTAGGGATGTATATTGCAGTGGTAAAAAACTAAAATTACATTTTTTTTCTAAAATTATTAGCAAGAACAATAATAATAACAAGAAGGTGGATGTATGTATAAGCGTAAAGCGTCCCAAGGACAATAGCCAAATAAGCCAATTGTTATATAGTTGATTATTACATATATATTTATTTTTAGTAAATTTATTATATTTTAATCAATATTTATATTTAATATTTATAACATATTAAAAATTAAATCAGTATCAATAAACTTTATAATTTGTATCATATTTTATGGCATAATTAATAATTTGTACAACGAGAAAGGACGATTTCAGGAATGGTTAGGAGTGTAGGACCGTGGAATTCTTTAATGGCAAGTGTTTTGGAATGGAGGACTTGCACGTGATTCATGCAATTACAATTATAAACATTAAAAAATTAAGGGGTCGTTTACTTCATTTCTCTGTTTTTCCATTTCCAGTTTTCCATTTCTCCATTTTTTCAGTTTTCCTTCTCCATTCCTCCAGTTTTCCATTTCTCCATTCTTCCAGTTTCATTTCTCTAATTTTCTGATTTTATTATCAACCTATATAATAATAATAATAATAATAATAATAATAATAATAATAATAATAACAACAACAACAACAATAACAACAACAACAATAATAATAATAATAATACAAATTTAATAATAATAATAATAATAATAATAATAATAATAAAAATAATAATAATAATTTAATAATAATAATAACAGCAATAATAATAGTAGTAATATAATAATAATAAGAATTTAATAATTTAATAATAATAATACTAATTTAATAATTAATAATAATAATAATAACAATACTAATAATATTAATAAAAATTTAATAATTTAATAATAATAACAATAATAATAATAATTAGTAATAATAATTAAATGATAATAATAATAATAATAATAATAATAATAATAATAATAATAATAATAATAAAAATAAAATCTGAAGAGGTGTCAAAAATCTGAATGCCACGCTTTGCTTGTACGCCAGTGTAAAAATCGGAAGAAGAAGTGTGCGCCAGTGTCAAAAATCAAAATCGGAAGAAGAAGGGATCAGCAAGATTCGAACCTGGGACGCCACACTTGGCTTGTATTGTTCACCCGTGTGTTTCCATTTCTCCATTTGGAGAAGTTGGATTTTCAATTCTCCAAATTCCTTAAGAAGAGTGGAGAATGGAGATGGAATAAGGATTTGGAGGAACAAATTTAGTAAACAACTTTTCCATTTTCCATTTTTCTACCTCTCCAATTTTCTATTTTTTTGAAAAATTTTCCATTTCTCCACTTTGGTAAACAACCTTTAAGTCTTTCCTTTCTTCACTTTGCTCTTTCTCAGCTCTATCCTCTCTATTGGAACCCACTCCCAGTCTGCTCTTTCTCACCTCTATCCTCTCTCTTGGAACCCACTCTCAATCATTATTGTTCACATAACTGTGTGGATCATGGTCTAAAAACATAAAGTATATTATTTCAATTCATAAAGTACATTATTTTAACAGATAAAGTACATTATTTTAGCTCATATATAAAATACATTGATCATGTTAGGTAAATGGCTGTTAGCTAATTGGGTTAATTAGATAGAATAATTAATTGATAACATTAGCTGATTGTAAAAAGGTATTTGTAAATTAGCTGTTAGCTGTTTAGTATAATTTCTTTTCTCAAAAAATTAATTAAAAAAGTTGCTTTGAGCAGCTTTTTGAATTTCAGCATTTTGAAGTTGTTACGAAAAGTTAATTAATCAAACACTTATATTGATTTTTTAACTAAGTCAAACAATTAATAATGGTCAAATAAGTCAAAATTGACTGATAGACTAACTATTTTACCAAACAGGGCCATTATATTACCCCAGAAATTTCATTATTCTACTACGTAAAAGTACATTATACATTATTCTAACTCATAAAATACATTATTCTAACATATAAAACACATTATATTATTCTACCTCATAAAACATATTATCTTACCATAGAAATTTCATTATTTTAACACATAAAGTACATTATCTTATCCTAAAATGTTAATTATTCTAACACGCACGGAACAAAAATTTTTATTTTTTAATATCAAAACGACATCGTTCCCGAGCGTGGTCCACACCTATAATTTGCCCTCTCCAAGCCGAGAAATTGAGATACCCACTTTATCATTTTACTGCGCTACTGAAGACTCAACTCAGAAGGTATCTTTCTACTTCATTTATTATTCCATCCTGTGAACAATACCAAGAACAACTAACAACAAGAGAATCTAATTGGATGATGAATTTTGTTCTTGTATTAATACTTATTTAGTTTGGTTTGGATCTATATATAGTTAGATCAGTTAGCTTGTTAATTAGTGTAAATAAATGGGAGTATTGCATCAGATTAGTTCCCTTGATTATATATGTTTTCGCAATTTAATTACTTGAATTGATAGATTTCAATTTTACTTCCTTTAACTTGTAATACAGAGACAGATACAGTCAAATAATTAGTCTGGAAATGGGTAGTTTGTATTCCTATATGTATGCCTTGGCTCTGCTTTGCAGCTTAGCCAATCCACTGCTGTGCTTAGCCCATCATAATCATGTGGCCCTCTTTGTGTTTGGGGACTCACTCTTTGATCCTGGCAACAATAACTTCATCAACACCACTACTGATTTCCAGGCCAATTTTTGGCCCTATGGTCACTCATTTTTCAAGTACCCAACAGGCAGGTTTTCTGATGGTCGCCTCGTCCCGGATTTTATTGGTAAGACTAGCTAATTCGTTATTTTTCGGTTTTTTTGACTGGCTCATAGATGCTCGGCCTGACTGATTATATATGTTATGTTACAAGCCGAGTTTGCCAAGCTGCCATTAATTCCGGGGTATTTCCAGGCGGAGGAGCAACGTGGATATGTTAATGGGGTGAACTTTGCATCTGGCGGTGCGGGCAGTCTTGTTGAAACCCATTCTGGTTTTGTGCGTGATATGATTCCTAATTAAAAATCTAAGCTGATAGTTGGATTGTACATTTATATATATATTACATGCTCGACATTGAAGGCAGTAAGGAAACAAAGATTTTTTATTTGATTTTTGTGTATGCAGGTAATTGATCTTAATACACAACTGCAGTATTTCAAGAACATTATAAAGGAGTTGAAGGGGAAGTTAGGGGACAAAGAATCGAACAAATTGCTGTCCAGTGCCGTGTACATGTTTAGTAATGGCGGCAATGACTACTTCAGCCTTTTTACTACAAATTCCACCATCTTTAATTCATATACTAAGGAGGAATATGTGGACATGGTTATTCATAGTTTTATTAATGTTATCAAGGTATGTTCAGTTATTAATGCCATATGGGTCCTTCAAGTATATATAGTGATTTTGTCACGTTAATTTAGTCCTAAATTTTGAAATTGATCACCGGTGGCGCCTGATCCTCTTAGAAGGACTACTGGTGGTCAATTTGAAAGTTTAGGACTAAACATAACAAAATAACTATACTAGGACCCCATATGGACATATGGTGTTAACGCTTATTTGTTAGTCCTCAGAATTTGAAGTTTTAGTTTACCAAACTCTATAGTAGTGTGCTTTTCCGATGCATTTCAACAGGAAGTATACAAGGAAGGAGGAAGAAAATTTGTCATTTTTTCTGCGGCGCCTTTAGCCTGCTTACCATATTCAAGGGCCTTAAAGTTTCAACAAACAAATAGAACTGGTTGTGAGAAGAAATTCCGAGTATTGACAGAGATTCATAATAAGGTTTTACCAAATAAGCTCATCGAACTAGAGAAAGCATTACAAGGGTTTAAGTATTCCTACTTTGATTTCTTCCAGGCTGCCACTGATATAATTGATCACCCATCGAGATACGGTACGTACGGTAATATAATGTATTATTGGTTAGTCAAATAATACTTGCAACGATTAATTATTACATATGTGGTTGTATGTATGACTGTATGTATGTATATTTTCAGGGTTCAAAGAGGCAAAGACAGCATGTTGTGGTAGTGGTCCTTATAGAGGATTGTCCAGTTGTGGGGGTAAAAGGGGGCAGTTGAAAGAGTATGAGTTATGCAAAGATGTTAGGGATTATATGTTTTTTGATAATTTTCACCCCACAGAGAAGTCTAACTTGCACTTTGCTACATTACTTTGGAATGGGGTCCCTAATGTTGTTAGGTCTTGCAGTGTGAAGTCATTATTTGAACAAGTGTTGTAGATTATTTCTATGCACAAATGAAAATAAAAATTTCTCTTTCTTCCCTTTCTCTCTGCAAAAATTAGGAGACTTTTTTATTAAATCTGGCAGTGAAAATGTCACGGATAACCTCAACATCCCAAGTACCTTCATTTGTCAGCAAGTTACATACCTTGGCATCTCTCAGCTCCTCCACACAAGGTGTTTGCAATGTAGGATCGCTCGAGTCAACCAACCACGGCCAATCCCAGATTGAGATCGATCTCCTTCCCGTCCCCAATTCTTCGCACAACACCGTGCCGCAGAATACCCTGGCTAGCATGAATGCTACGCCATAGGTAACTAGGATTGTGGCAAATACGAGCATCAAGGAAACAACCATTGGGAAAATACCTTGTTTTCAATACCCTACTGACCAAGGAATGAGGATTAGTAAGAATACAGCAAACTTGCTTTGCAAGTAACACCATATTGAATTCATACAGCCTTTTAAAGCCCAACCCACCGCTCTGCTTAGGCACAACTAACCACAACCAACTTGACCAATGTATGCCGTGACCATTCATATCCCCATTTTCCCACCAAAACCGATTCATCACCTTCTCAATCGACTCACGCACACTTCTCGACAACAAGAATACTAACATAGCAAATATTGGCATGGATTGGGCAAAATAGCACTTTTTAAGTAAAATTTCCTTACCCGCACGAGAATGTAATTTCTTCTACCAAGTACTAACACGATCCTTGACCTTCTGCTCAATGTACTTAAAAACTAGAGTTTTGTTGCGGCCAAGGAAAGAGGGAAGGCCAAGATACCTCCCGAAATCATTCACCTATTGGACCCCAAAGAGGGTCGTCACGTGCTCTTTCATGTCAGCCCTATGTTGGCACTAAACATGATGTTGGACTTATCGTAGTTAACCTCCTAGCCCGAAGCCCAGCTGTAGAGCCTTAGACATTCCAACACTTCCTGTGCCTCTTGCCATTCACCTTGAAGAAAAGCAGGTTGTCATTGGCGAAAAAGAGAAGCGAGATAGAAGGGGCTCCTCTAGCAACAAAACTCAGTGAATATAATGTTTCCCCAAGCATCCTCTTGCTGCAAAATTAAAGACAAACCTTCTGCACAAACAATAAATAAGTAAGGAGATAATGGGTCCCCCTGTCTAATCTCCCGTGTAGGCACAAAAGAACCCATCGAGTCCCCATTCACTACAATGTTGTACATAAACGAGCTCACGCATAGCAGCACAAGGTCAACCCACCCGCGGGCGAACCCCAGCGCTACTAGCATTCCCTCTAAAAAAACTCACTCCATCCTATCATAAGCCTTCTCCATGTCTAACTTGAGCACAACCCACCCTACATTGCCCACTCGCTTACCCCTCAAGAAATGACCAACCTCCCCCACAACAATTATATTATCATAAGTGAGTCTTCCCGGACAAACGCACTTTGGGAAGAGGAGATGATGACTTCCAGCACCTCCTTCATTCGATTTTCTATGACTTTAGCAAAGACGTTATACGCTACGTTGTACAAGGCAGTTGGTCTCAGATCAGAAACTCTTTCAAGGACTTTCTTTTTAGGGATCAACACCACATTTCTGTCATTCAAATCGGGTGGCATATGACAGCTATCAAAACAGCCCATGACAAACCTAGTAAGATCTCGCCCCACAATCGACCAGAAGTTTTGATAAAAAGCGGGGGTCAAACCCTCAGGTCCCGGGGCCTTTTCATGAGCCATAGAGAATAAAGCTGTCTTTACTTCCTTGGCCTCAACAAGCCTAAGAAGTCGGTCATTCATCGCAAGGGTTACACGACTAGGCACCCTACTAATAAGACCCCACTACATGTCGAGGATTTAAAGGTGTCAGAATAGTTCCTCAACACTTCTGCATGCATGGCTGCACCATTGACCCACCGACCTTCAACATCACACACGTGCAGCAATTGGTTCGTCTTCCCCCGGCATGAAGCAAATTTGTGAAAGAACTTAATGTTATGGTTCCCCTCCAAGAGCCAAAACTTACTGTTTAGACCGTTGCGACCAGTAGATCTCTTCCTGGGAAAGCAACCTACGCCGCTCACCTTCTATAGTCCAGTAAGCTTCAACATTGCCTCTGTCTCGACTGCCCTTTAAACCCTCTAACCTGTCTTTCAATTGTTGTATCCTCCTGTCAAACTTCCTGAAGTATTCACCACCGCACTTCCAGAACAAATCACACCAGGCTGTGGATGCGACCGCCCTATCCAGCCGCTCTTCCACCCAGTGCGTTGTTCCCCGACCTTTCCTCCACGTGAATTTGTAGCCAGACATCCCTAGGTCTGACAGCGTGCAATCTTGCAGGACTTCGCTAACTCCCCGAACCAGTCCTTCAAGTTGAGAGATAGGGCCCCTCTTCTCCACATGGCTGGCTATATCATTGAAATCCCCGATCACCACACATGGCAAGTCGGAACGAGCATACGACTCCTATAAGAGCTCCCATGACTGACTCCTTCTCGACCGCTCTAGATATCGGTAGAAACAAGTAAGGCGCTATGGTTGCGAACCCGGCAAGGTTACCATGACATCTATATGATTAACCGATTATCCAAGAAGAGTAGCCATCTCCTTTTCCCTCCATAGCAAAGCTAAACTACCTCCAAGCCCCACTCTATCTACACAAAACAACCCCTCTAAACCCAACCACATTCTCACTCGTTCCAGATGCTCTGAACATTGTTTCGTTTCCATTAAGAAAATAAAATTGGGTCGCTGCTTGGACACCAGGCCCAAGAATTCCCGAACTGTCCGAGGGCTACCCAAACCTCGGCAGTTCCAGCTTAAAGTATTCATGATGAAGGGTGGGACTTGCTCCCCGGACCTACTGTAAACATGATTTTTGAAGCATTTGACATACTAACATTAACAACAAAGCCAACAATTAGCTACCCCCGATCCGAACCCTCATCACGTTGACGCTTATTTTCCCCCTGCAGCATCATCGACTCCTCAACCAGTAGTGGGCAACCCCGGAGCAGAACGCACACAAACTGATTTCAGAGGAAGTTCGGATAGTAGCCATTTGCCTCCAACAGGTTTAGCTTGCCTCCTCGCACTCGCCCTCAACCATGCACCATAAGGATAGTCCTTCGGAGTAAGGCCATACTCATACACCTTGCTGCAAAACTACTTCTCTAAGTAGCCTATCAAACAACAACAAATGCAAAAGGTGTTTAGACGTTCGTATTTGAACGTCACCCACTGGCACGTTCCATCACGATAACGTAGCTTCATCTTCCGCTTCAAAGGATCTCCAATGTTCAGCGCAATCCTAAACCTGAAGTAACTACGCCATGTCCCACCAAAATTATTCAGATCCGTCGCCAAGAGTGTTCCCACTTATTCCCCAATCTCCACGATGAATTCGGCAAATGCATACATCGGCGGCAGGTCATGAATGTGCACCCAAAAGGCGACTGTATTCAACACCACATCTTCGGTTCACACCGCATTCAGAACCTGCTTGCAGACTAGGGTTTGATTTTCGAAAGACAACGGCCTATCGTCGAGAACCAGCAACATATCTTTCTGGTGTAGGAATTGGAAAACAAACAAGTTCTCATTGAGAGGTAGAACCCGCATACCAATCACTGGCCACCACACTGACACCATAACCTGCTGCATATGGTCAAATTTGATGGGTCGATAAGTGAGGAAGCGACCAACCAATTCACAATACGTAGCACTAGCGCTTGCGAGATCAGGGACTGGACCTCCAAACCTCCTACATCCTCTTCCGCTAAGGTTAACCTAGCGCATGTATCCCTCCTCCAGGCTATTGACATCCATCACGAAGCGATGACTCCCAAACAAAAAACTAAACTGAAGATCAGAAAGGAAAGGAATCGCAAAAAAACCAAAATCCTAGAAACCCTAGGGAGAATTTTCTCTATGTAACCGTAGAGAGAGAACCGCTAGAACGTTAGTAAATTTATTATATTTTAAACAATTTTTATATTTAAGCTCTGTTTGGCAAAGCTTATTTAGGAGCGTATAGCTTATTTTAAGCTACTAATAAGTTATAAGCTATGTTTGGTAATGTTCCCAAAATAAGCTTCTAGTTTAAAATAAGAGCTTATTTTGGAACACTACTTTGGCTCTGTTTGGCAGAGCTTATTTAGGAGCTTATAGCTTATTTTAAGCTACTAATAAGCTATAAGCTCTATTTGGTAATGTTCCTAAAATAATCTCCTAGCTTAAAATAAGAGCTTATTTTGGAACGCTACTTTAGGTAGCGTTTCAAAATAAGCTCATAGCTTCCTAACTTTTTTTCCATCTTTATCTTTATTACTATTTTTTTACGTGCATTGCACGATTGAGATAATGTCCAATGTTTTTTTTTAAGTACTTTAAAGTATATCAAGGCAAGATTATATTGGTATTATTCGTGCATAGATAATTGAATGTTAAATTTGTGTATTTAAATATGTAATTCTAAGTTTACAAATGCAAGATAATATAATCAAGATTGATTATAATTGTCAATAAAATAATTATATAGGTATGATTGAAACCAAATACGGGACATAAGGAAGAGAAAATAAAAATTAGGGCATAAAATATTAAATATATACTAATATTGAAGAGGTAACTGCTGATGGCCAAACAACGACATTGCGAGATAATTTCCAACTTCAATTTATTATGTGATTTGAGTACTCTTTTTATCAATAAATCCCCCAAGTAGTTAATATGATTGGCATAATTATATTTTTTTTATTTTTTAAAACAATTATTATTATTATTATTATTATTATTATTATTATTAATATTATTACTACTACTACTACTACTACTACTACTACTAATTTAAACCGCTAATTTTTTCAAATATCTTTTTACCAATCGTTGAAATAATTCGCTAATATAATCTGCTAACGCTAACCGCTAATTGCTGATTGTCAAACAAGGACATTGCGAGGTAGTTCTCACTTCAATTTATTGTGTGATTTGAATACTCTCTTTGTTAACAAATTCCTCAAGTAGTTAATATGATTGGATTTATTAATTATAT